TCGATTTTGTTGGTATCCAAGTTGTAGAAGCATTAGATTCCAATTTTGTAGGTACTGTGTCAGCAACTGGTTTTTCTTGAACGATAGGTTTATCATCTAATTTTTCTTCACTCTCTGATCCAACAATAACAGTCGGCATTACTTCCGGCTCGGCTGGTTCAGGCTCTTTAGCGCACTCTATGTCTGGGTTAGGTTGTTCCCGTGCTTCGTCTTCACCGACTTTGATATCACCTTCATAAATTCCCCCTTTACCATGGCTTACGAAGAAAGGTATGTCATCCATATTTGGTAAGACAATAGAATCCATTATCATTTCATGAATTCTGGATTCTATGGCATTAATAATGGGAGAGAATTTCAGTTGCGTTTCCGAAACAATGGGTTCTATTAGTAAATCCAACTTTGGCATTTCATAAAAGCCTATCCATATTCTGTTCGTTGGTGGAGCTTTAATACGCAGCAATAATTTTCCGATCAATCCCCTCAACACGACAGCTAAGACCAATGGAACCTTTATCGTTTTGAGTCGTGTCACTGGAATTATTGCTTCTGTCTCTATTTCGGCGCGAAATCCACCATTATAATCAATATTAAGTTCTACGCTTAATTCACCGTTCTGTGCTAGTTCTACTAATTTGGGGTTGGTAACATAAGGGATTCCATTTCCAATATCTACAGACTTGATGTGGATGTCGCCCAAGAAATTTGGCTTTTTTACTTTCTTCACTTTTTTAACCAATTTTTTAATGAAATGTTCTTTGACTACCTGGGTTTTATACACTGAAAGGAAAATACGACCCAATATAACGTTCAACCATTGAGTATTAATATTATCGTCATTGGAAGAAAGTATCTTTGAAAGATTATTCAATGCAATATGATCAAATTGCGTTTTATCTCTCACAACCTGTGGTTGAGGCCCTGGAGAATTTGACTCTAATTTTGATGATCTCTGCAAGGCAAAATACCAATCTTCCTTATCCACACCAATACCACAATAAAGATAATAGCTTGAATTATCAGCATCTATTGCCATGTCTGCGCATATTGACTT